CCCCCCGATAAGGCTAACACACTTCACAAGGCCTTCTTAGTTCTGTTCACCTTAATAACCTAAAAGTCAGATTTCATGTGTGTATTGGGGCGGGGGGGAACACGCGGAGAAAGGAGCAATTGCCCTCAAAGTCTGGAGCAGATCTGAGGATGGAATGAAAATCTCAATGTCCTTTAAGACCTGTTTTTAAAAATTGCAGTGCCTTTCTGTGCTTCATGTGACTGTCTAGAAGAGCCTAAACAGCTAGCCAAGCCTGCATGGGAAAGCTGCAAGACAAGGAAGACGGAAAAAAAATGCAGCATGAATTAATTGCACTTGGGTACGCACACACATGCTCGAGCCGGCCACTTCTTTCTTTCTCCGAGGCATCCACAAACTTCATTGGCAAAGGTTTCATTAACCAACTGGTTCCTCCAGGGTTGTCCTATTTCTGGCTGCTCAGCAGACACTGCTGCTTGTTGTCTCTCAGTCGGCTCCTGGGCAGCGTGGGGCGGGGTGGAGAGGGAGGATTTGTTTTGATTAATATTAACGTTGTGTCTGCAGCTCTTTCCCAACTGTTTTAGTAGGTGATTTCTCTTTCAGCCAGACATTGATCCACTGATACGTACACAAGGGGATGCGGATCGATATTCAAAATGCAGGCACAGCATGCCTGGCTCCTTTTATTTATCTCTCCCTTTACTTATTCATTTGTTTATTTGTATGTGAGTTTCAGCGGCTGCAATCCATCACCCTGTAGCCCTTTATGTCTGGGGGCTTCAGGCAGATGGCTTCTGAGGGCCGTCCTGATAGACTCTTGGGCTGGCAAAATTGCCAATGAAACAGTGTTATAATCAACCTGGCAGTCACTGTCTGCCTCTGAATATTATCGTTCTAATCCTGTTTGTCAGGACGGCGCTGTTCAACACTTCTTTTCCCTCGCCCCCCTCCCTCGCCAGCCGCCCTGCTCTGCTGCGCACCCTTCTTTCTGTCGCAGCCTCTCTCCTTTGCAGATTTGTGGTTCGCAGTGTTTGCTCCCCCTCCCACCACATCTCCTTCACCATTGCACATCCCTCTGCTGTGCCTCCCCCTTCCTGCCTGCCCCCTCTCCCTGACCCCCCTCCTCCCGCCACATACTCCTCCTCCTGGAGCTGCTTCTCCCCTCTCCAGATCCGCTGTAATTGACATTTTCCATCTGACAGGTTCTGTTTTCCCTTCCTGCAGTTGCTAAGGAAACAAGCGACAGGGCCCTCAGCCGGGGAGCGGTTAGCTGCCTTTATTGGCTGCCTGTCCACATAAATGTCACTTTTGCTAATGAACATTGGGCAAAAAGTTAAAACCCAACCACAACAAAATGCAACACGAAACCGAGTTCGTGTTAAATTAGGGGGAAACGCAAAAAAATCTCTCTGTAGCGTCGAACCTCTAGCCTCCCAATGAAAGGTTTTGCTTTCCCATCCCAGCATACCAAACAATTAAGCAATGTGAGCTCAAGTACCAGACAGGACTCCGGTTCCTTTCTTTCTTTGTGGAACAGGAAATTTTTCTTTCCTGTGCCAGCGCTGTGCCCTCGTGGGGCTCCAGTGAGGGACACCGAAGGACGCTGTAAATCAGCACGGCAAAATTTAACTTGGGGCAAGTAAATTACCGCTGGTTTAGTCGTTGTCTGCATCATTGTAAAAGACAAGCCTGGGCTGGTAAATTCCTTTACCAATTTTGCAAGAATTCAATATATGTATTATAGTTACACAGTATCTAGACCACGACACACTCTGTATACACGAGGGGGCAGAATTAAAATTGAACAGGTAGCTCCATCATTGCTGCTTTCTGATTTTTTTTTTTTTTTATTATTATTTTTATTTTTTTAATATTGCACTTTACAACATTAACATTCTTCTAATGTGAGCTTTAATTTTATTAATGGCATTTCCTATTTTTTAAGAATAAAATGAACAAGCATAGAAATGTGGTTGTCAGAGTTATAGGGCTAGCTGCACATTGGGCCCCTATCAAGTTTCACCCATATCCCTTTAGGTCTCCAGCTTCTTGGCTTTACCTCTTTTGGGATGGAAGTCCACAATTCTTCCACTATTAGCCTCTGCCTGTTTTAAACTATGTTTACTAAGCTGGTGCAACTGAGTTTGGACATCTGTTTTCTTCTGAGTGTGTGGTCAGGGGTTTATATAGTGACCAAACAGATTTCTTAAAATAATTGATAATTTCAACAATAAACAATTTCATCAACAAATAATGAATACTTAGAGATTCAAAAACAGCAAACAGTCTATGCATGTCTCTGTCTTATCTAAAGCCCAGCTATTCTGTGATGAGGACCCAGGCAGGCTTAGTTTCTTCAGACACCCCAAAGAAATTCCCATGTTTCTATTTCATTCCCTTGCACACCTATGCTTTTATGAGAGAAAATCGCTTTTAAAACTACTATAGTCCTTTTGATCGGTGGTATGCCTGGCTTTTTTCTGTAATTGCAGTCATTGTCTCTTAACAGCCCTCAAGCACTGGCAGAGAACTGACTTATCTTGACGTCATTCTGCTTCCTTTCTGCATGTTTTTCCTTACAGCCCCCTATTAAACTAAATCAAAACACAGTAAACATCTCAAAATCAAATCAACATAAAAGATTCATAAATTATTACAAAGCGCCTCCAATTCAGTGACAGTCATCTTGTTCGACTATTTGCGAGATTGCAGTGGAATGCTCTGTCTGACATTCCATGGGAACGTAGCTCTTGCTTTATTCTGTACGCATTTTATACCATATCAAAAAAATCAAGAATATTTCAGAGCTTTGCTTCTTTCTTCAGTAATGCTTATATGTCTATCTTGATACTTCTATAGGGCCTATCTACGTAGGGCCTTAATAAATGTGTACTTTTAATGTTGCCTTTAGCTAGAGAAATAACAGCATTCCCATTTTACAGATGAGAAAATGAGGCACAAAGAAATTAAGTGACTTGTTGCTGGTCACATAGGAAATCCATGGCACAGGTGGGAAATTAGCCAAGATTTTCTACATGCTGGTCTAGTGTCTTAATCACAAAGCCATAATTCTGTATTCCTCCCTTCCCTGCTTCCTGTATCACACTAAAGGAGCTATTTTGGATGTTGCCAACCTGCATGTATATCCCCTCTTAGTTCATACTCTACACCTGGCTGTGTACAAAGACAGGAATTGCACTCTGTTATGCTTAAAGCTGCATAATCAACACAATCTGGACAGTGTATTCAATGAAAAAATTCTGTTAGTTTATATAAGGATTCATTTGCATTGCCAGTGAAATTTCTGAAGACCTTAATTTCATTATTTAACAAAATACAGTGCACACTCACAAAGTACATTGTACACACTTTCTAACCCAGGTTTGATTTTGAGGTACATCTTTAACGTATGAACTATATCTCTGCCGGATTTCAGGTTCTCGTGATCATCTGCTTTTTTGTGGCTTGTGCCGGTATTGGGACTGCAGAAATACCAGTGGAAAGGAGTTCTTGTACGGGTACTCCTCACTTAACATCGTCCCAGTTAACGTTGTTTCATCATTACGTTGCTGATCTCTTGGAGAACATGCTCATTTAAAGTCGCACAATGTTCGGTTATAATGTTGTTTGGCTACCGCCTGCCAAACAACATCGGTAATTACTGTAATGTAACTGGATTCACTTAACATCGTTTGACTTAAGGTCACATTTTTCAAGAACATAACTACGACGTTAAGTGAGGAGTGGTTGTAAAACAGTTCTACTGGTTTTGCACATCCAGAAGTGTACATGGATCAAATGAGCCTTGGAAAAGCAATTGGAATGCTGAGCATTTATCAAAACCATACCTGAACTGCAACGCCACATCCTCATTTATACAAGGTCCTTTTTGTGCCACTTTGGCAGTGTGAGGGACCTTGAAGTGAGAGGTTTACACTGATAGAGCTGAATAAAGAGGCCTTATTGTAAAGGAGAACCTGGACTAAATCATGGGAGCTTCACCCATCACTTCCAGACATCAAGGCATCTGCACTCCGTAGTTTATAACAGAACTAGTTTTGGGAAAGATTCAAACAATTTGGAAGTTCAGTTAGCTTCTGAAAGGTTGGCCAGCTAGTCAGTACCTCTGGTCTTTGATTCACAGAAGTTGAGGGCTGGAAGGGACCTCGTGAGATCATCGGGTCCAGCCCCCCTGGTCTGGGCAGGAAAGACTGCCGGGGTCAACTAACGACAGCAAGGTTTGTGTCCAGTCTCCTTCTGAAGATCTCCAGGGTAGGTGCCTGTATCACCCCGATTGGGAGCCTATTCCAGAGTCTGGTCACACAAATTGTAAAGAAGCTTTTCCTTGTATCCAGTCTGAAACCTCCTTCTAGAAGTTTATGACCATTGCTCCTGGTTTTCCCCTGGGGCGCTTTGGTTAATAGTTGTTCACCTAGCCCCTGATGTATTCATAAGCTGCCACCAAATCCCCCAGAATTTTCTCTTTTCTAGGCTGAACAGTCCCATATCTGTCAGCCTTTCCTTGTACGGCTTGCTCTTCAGGCCTCTAATCGTATGAGTGACTCTTCTCTAGACTCTCTTAAACTTCTCCACATCCTTCTTGAAGTGTGGCACCCAAAAATGGACACAGTACTCGAGCTGCAGCCCAACCAATGCCAAGAAAAGCAGGAGAAGGACTTCCTTAATTCTACTTGAGATCCATTGGTTGATGCATGCCCGTGTATTGTTTGTTCTGCTAAATGTAGCATCACACCAGTGGCTCATATGCATTTTATGGTCAATTATGACCCCCTGGTCCCTTTCAGATATGGTGAGCTAGCACAGCACCACTGAGCCTGTAAGTTTGTTGTGGATTTTTCCTCCCCAGATAGAGCACTTTACATTTCTCAGTGTTGAACAGCATTTGGTTCTGGTCTGCCCATCTAACTAATCTGTCTAGGTCCTCCTGGATCATCAGCCTACCCTGATATGCAGCCACATTTCCCCGCAGCTTAGTGTCATCAGCAAACTTTGCCAGTATGCTTTTCACCCTCACATCCAGGTCATTGATAAAAATGTTAAAAAGCACTGGTCCAAGTACTGAACCCTGAGGGACCCCGCTGGCTACCATTCATAAGGTTGACACAGATGCATCTATTAGTACTCTCTAGGTCCAACCCCGCAGCCAGTTTCCCACCCATCTGACCGTTCAGATGTTGAGCCAGTGGTCCGCTAGTTTTGCCTTGAGAGCCTCATGGGACATCAAGTCAAAGGCCTTCTTAAAATTCAAGTAAATGACGTCAACCTCATTTCCCTTATCCAGGTGGTAAGTAGCCTGATCGTAGAGGGTAATCAGGTTAGTCAGACATGACCTACCCGTGACAAAACCGTGCTGGCGGTCATTCAGAATTTTTCCTTCTACTAACTTATCGCATATGGACTCCTTAAGAAATTTTTCAAGGATTTTTCCTTGAGGTCAGGCTGATCGGCCTGTAGTTTCCTGGGTCCTCTCTCTTCCCCTTCTTGAAAATGGGCACAATATTGGCCCTCTTCCAGTCTTCTGGGACCTCTCCTGGGCACCACAAATTCTCAAAGAGGTTCACCAGCAGTCCTGCAGTGACTTCAGCTAGTTCATTCAGCACTCTCAGATGGAGTTCATCTGGTCCTGCTGACTTAGATATCCAGCCTCTCTAGCTGTTCTTTCACCAGCTCTACAGTGACTGTTGGTAGGTGATCATCCCTACTAT